TGTTGCTGAAATTTGGTAACTAATATTTGAATTAATTCAAATATGCTGATTAAACTGGAACATTAGAGATTTAGCTAAATTAAAATCCCTATGAAATAGGGATTTAATTGGAGAAGGAATTCCAGTAAAGATGGAACAGTCGTATGAGTTCAAAAGCTACAAAAGGTTATTTAGGCCATGTAAGGAAAATACATCAGTCGAGCCTATGGAAGGAAGTTGCTAAAAGTCAGCAACTTTTCAGCGATATTCTGACAACTTATATTCGATTAAATCAAGGAAGGTTGTTTCGACAAGTATCTTCTACTAAAGGAAACCGTGAAGAGAAGTAAAAATATAATGGGATTTGACCTGGTAAGCATCATAAAGAGAAGAAAATCAAGGAGAAAAGGATTTTTTCAGAGCAATTAAATAGGAAATAAGTTATTTTAAAACTTCTATAAATAGAAGTATTGTAATTTATTCCAATAGGTCCAGCACCAACCACAAAACATGAATTTCTTATTCAATTGACTCTATGTCATCTTATCAATTTCTTTATTTTCTTTTGTCCAAATGGCAATTTTCATTCAAAGAATTTAAGTTCTAGTTGCTTACTTTTCTTTTGCAATGCTTTAATTATGCTATTTACATTATCAGTCATTCATTTCATACAAACGGATTCAATGGCCAATCTTTGATAAGATTTGTGTCATGTTAATTTGGCTAGCTTATTTCATTCCTTTATTTTCCATGTAATTTCCATTTAACCATTTCCTTTATTGTCATTTCAATTCAGCATTTACTTTCTTGCAAATTTCAATTTAGTCGTCTTTCTTTACTGTCAATTTAAATTCAGCCCTTTCATTTAAATTACTTTTCTTCAGTCATTGCATTTTTATTTCTTTTAACACCTAGATAAAAAGTCCTTACATCAAGGCATAAAAGAACCTTACTGGGAGTTCTTACCAGTCTCTCTCCCACACATTCGCCTAAGAGTCAACCATCGGAAAAAGGGATAGGCTGGTGTTCAAATCAATATTTTGAGTGTTTTATACAAATACTCTGGCATGCCCGCAATAGTCCATCAACTGGTATAAGACCAAAAATCGCGCGAACAGTATGACACGAGGCCAAGGGCCACAAACTTTAAAGTTCAAATATATTCATTTAAATTTCAAGTTTTGCCTTTGAAATGGATTTTTTTCTAACTTTGGAGCTTTGGCATGTGATTTGGATTAAATGATATGTAACGAGGCTATGGGCCATTATAACACATTTCAATATGTAAAGTACACTCATTGACATGTTCATATGCTCATATATCTTTAAAACTCAGCTTTTAACCTTTGCTTTTGGACCATTTCATATTGGGGTTTGAGGCTTGGGTGAAGTCTCATCAATTCCAGTGCATAGCAACACTTTTTCCACCTTCTAGAGTCATTTCAGCCGACCAAAATGCCATTTCGGTCGACCAGTGACTCTTTGGATTTAATTTGAACAGTAAAAAGTCATTTTCCAGTAGCTTATGTACTATTTTGGTCACAACCAGTTGACCGATTCTTCATTTCAGCTGACCGAAGTGACTTTTCCTCAAAATTCAGTTTTTTGGTGATTCTGCACAATGGGAATTATTCATATTTTAGTGAGACAGTATCAGATTTTGTTTAAACTGGGAACGGGAGTCTTATGGGATTCTTGGCCCAAAGTTCTTAGAACCTCTTGGAATATTGTAAAATGATTAATTTAGGTTGTATGGACCCCATTTGACTTGCTTGGAGTCAAATTTCCCTTCTCATTTGTAATTTGACCACTTTACCCTTGATTAACGAATTTTGCCTGTTTTGACTCTTTTTTCCTCTTTTGTTCTCTTTAAGTTTTGTGACTTCATGAGAAGTTACTTTGGTATCTTAGGGATGATGTGTGTCTTTAGAGACCATGATTTTATCTTTCACTTCCACATTTCGGACCTGTTACCAGGTTAACTTTTGGGTCATCACAAGATGCATTGGCTTGAAAAACCAGGGCTATCACAAGGCCAAGGGCCAAGAACTTCAGTGATTATGAATTACATCATTTTGTATCATATATGCAAACTAGGACACTTGGTATCAAATGTTCAATTTTTTTGTCATAGTTACTATTCATCAATTTTTTTTTCAAGAACCGACCTGATCGTTCCGGGACTTTTGGGGGTCTATAGGGTGTATTTGAACACCGTATTATCAATTTAGAACTTAGGAAAACCTCCTAAGAGCCCACTTCCATTTAGTGGGCAGCACCTCAGCATTTTGTGGGCGCCCATAGGTCTTGGCATCTGCCCGCAGCCTTAGTAAATGCTGCAACTTTGACAGTTTTGCAACCCTATTTTGTAACAACCATAACTCACTCATTTTATAAGTCTAAATTTAAGGATTTTGAGTTAGCTTTCCAATGGTACCAATCCCATTTTCAGATTCATTTTCTATTGATAGATATAATTAGTTTAGTTGAATAGTGTTGGGATTTGGTTTGAATCGGGTTAAGGTTTTCGTGGGATTTCACTTTGAATGACCTTAGAACTTCATAAGAGGTTACCAAAGGATCTAATTGGGTTATTTTGATTCCATTTGACTTGTTGAGAGTCAAATTTCCTTCTCTTGGTGTAAATTGACCATTTTACCCCTATCTTCGTTTTTGGTTCATTTCAGTCTTAGCTTCCACTTTCAATTCCATTTTGAGTCTTGTGACTTCTTAGGATGTCATTTTGACGTCTGAGAGATGACATTCATCTCTAGAGACCTCTTTTCTTTTATTACTTCCGCATTTGGGATCCGTTATCGGGTCAATTTTCGGGTAACTCACTGACGCACCGTGTTCTTAAAATTTGGGCCGTCATACATTCATCGCTGAAATCATTGGATCTTTCTGTTCTTCCCATGGACGACGCCAGATGAAGTTATAAGAAAATGTTGTTCTATATTGGGAAATCATTTTCTTACACTCCAAACAATGGGCCTCTTTGTTCCTCTCTCACTTCTATTTATAGAAAGTTTACATTTATCCTAATTTCCCATATTTTCCCTCTAAGTTGAAGGTTGATGGGCCTCCTTCCTTTGTATGGTAATTCGCCTATGCAAATTGACCCAAATGTAGGCCCGCTCTTACTATCTTAGACTCTACATGTATTGGGCTTGACCTTTGGGTTGATATGGAGCCTGATCGATCGAATGTGTTGGGCTGGATCAGGCCTGACTCAGGTTTACTAACGTTTCCCACCCTTTCAACAATGTAGTTCCACCGTAAGAGCCCTTTGAGAAAGATACCTATGTGGCTTGTGGAGTGTTGTCGGAAGATTTTACGTTGGAGTTGATTCGATAGAGAGAAAGCTGGTTTGTGGAAGATTATGCATTGGAGTTGTAAAATATTAAAGATGATATGTGGCTGTAATGTTTTAGGGTTTAATTTCATATCTCTAAACATTACCAAAGGTTGAGATAGTAAGATGGAGTAGTAATACTTGATGATGGGGTAATCAATTATAACTCCTTGGGCCTGATTAATGAAAGGATGAGAGTTAATATATATATATATATATATATATATATATATATATATATATATAACGAGCCTGATATGTGCCTTAGCTAGCCCATGTTCACGAGCATATGCGAGTCGAGTAAAATGGTGTTTGGGTTCGACTCGTTTACTAAACGAGCCTATAAATTAGGCTTGAGCTCGGCTCATTCGCTTAACGAACGAGCCCAAGCTGAGCCTGAGTTGTTCATGAACAGCTCGATTAATTTGCAACCCTAAATGTAGCCGTTGGGGATCCTCCTTATCAAAACCAACCAATGATCATGTTGTTATGCATGTTGAATCTCCTTATAGTAATATGGGTGCTGAGATGGAGATTGTGTGCAAGAAAGTAGTTTTTGGTATATGCTTTAAAGAAATGGACAATAAGGAAGTTGTTTTTTTAGTATTATAATTAATCTCTTTATGATATTAAAATTCAATAAAATCACTAAAATTGGCTAAAAATTTATCTTTATAGAATTATATTATATAAATCGTTTATGAGCACACTTAGAAAGTTAATCACCGTGATGTCAGATTGTCGATATGAATCTCGTATATGTAACAACATATTTATGTCTGCAATTTGACCCATGATCGTGAACTCGACCTATTGCTAAGATGTAAATTAGAAGGAAGATGGTTAGGGTTGCGTTGCAACTTGCACATATAAAAAGTAAGGATGTTCATTTGATTAGTCTATTCGTGAAATTGATCCGATCCAATTCGATCCGTGCATATTGGATTGGTCTTTTAGCCTCAAGGTTTAGTTAAAGATTAATAAATAAGGAGTCAGTAGTTCACTAATAAATCAATCCCATTCATTCAAATTTATATATAAAAAATATGTATACACTATTTCTATTTTCTTTATTCTTTTATTCTTTTAAGTTTTACTAGCTTTTAAACCTAAACCCCTACAAACTTTTAAGTCTTGCTAAGGATTGAAAATCCATATCTTAAGCCAAAGTTAAAAATACTAATATGGGGCTATTTGGAAAAAGACCCACCCATAAAACCAATCTGATCCAATTAGTAAAATAACTTAATCCGATTTGATTAGTAAAATAACTTAATCCGATTCAATCTAATCTATAAAGGAACCGATCATATTGAATTCAATTTTTACCAATGGGTAGGAATTGAATCGAATCGAATGCATAATCCGATCCGATTCGTAGTCACCTTAATATTAAAAAATAAAAAATGGTACTTACGCTGAACATTTGTAATGAATTTCCTAACCGAATAATTTTTAATTGGTTATTTATACCAAATACAAGTAAGCGGAGGACTCCACTCCCTTATTTGTTACATAATTGACCAATTAAAAGAATAGGTCTAACAATTCATTTCGGGCATTAGAAAATTACTGGTGAAAAATATGTTTAATTCTAACGTGGCGAGACTCCATTGGTCATTAATACATACTTGACCAAACCTAACAGGAGAGATGTATACATCATGTGTGTGGCAATGAATAGAAAGAGAGTTGTGTAAGATTGAATGAATTGAGGTCATCCGATTCTGGAGTAGGAGGAATAGGAAGAAAATGGCGGAAAGTGCAGATTCAGCAGCTTCGTTCTTTAGGAGGCATTGGGAGGGCTATAAAGAGTTCTGGAAAGAGAGATTTTCGATCGTTGATAACTACTCCAAGTTCGTCAAACGCGATAAACCACTCCCTTCTTGGTCTGATGCTGATGTCGAGCAGTTCATCGCCTCTGATCCTGTTCATGGCCCCACTGTATTGATCTCTCTCTCTCTATATATATATATACACGCACGTATATATATATATTATATGTTATGTTACGTTTCCATTTCATCTAGGTTTTCTTTAATTTAGTCTTCTACTTAATTTGGTTGATCCATATCGCTCTCTCTCTCTCTTTCTGTATATATATATATATATATATATATGTATAGATATATTTCTGCTCTAATCGAGTGTTTCTGGGTTGATATGTGCATCTGTGTTGCGGGTTTCATTTTCAATTTAATATTTTCCTTAACTTGCTTTTATTTTTGAAATACTTAATATTAAAATAAAGAATGTTGATCTGGGTATTCGTTATGTATTATATTATTTCATTTGATTGCGTTGTTGATTTTCAATGGACTTGATGTAATTGTATCTATACAGAGTGTTAGGTTAGGCTATGTACTCTTGGTTTAGCTTGCTCTTGATTTTGCTTTTGCTTTTACTTCTAATTCCTTATTTGAGCTGGCTATTCCTCGTTACTGAATATGATTTTTCATTCTTCAGTTTGTTTTCCTTGGTAAGTAAAATCCAGCCAAAACTGGACAGCTTCTATTTGATTGTTGTTTTTAATATTCAATGAATTTTGTTTGGATGGGTTATAATTTTCGCCCGGAGCTCTTTATGCCTTTTCTTTCTGTACATTCAGAGTTGAGATTTTTAAGGCAACATTTCATTTCCTTTGGCTGAAGTAGCTTTTTTGCTAATTAAGCCCAAAACTAAGTTGAACTTCTTGCTCCTAAAACCAAGAAATGTACTGCAGAATGTTAACTAATTAGTACCTTATATTTTTAACGGTGAATGTCTTCTAGAATAAGCGAATTCTTTGTGTTTTGCATAGTGTTTGAGATGGGGTTGTTGATTTTGATTCAATTTTCTTTTTTCCCTCAACTATTTGTTTAGTTGTAGGGAAGAGTGGGAGGAAAGAAGCAAGGGAAGGCATGGATTTTCCATTATTCATCATTTTTTAGTATGGAAAGGGGAAGACAAAGAAAACTAGGAGGGGAAAGAGTTCCCTGGTCCACAATTTTCCTTCCGTTTCTCAAGTGGACGGAAAGGAGGTAATAGTGTAACCTTTTCCAGTTCATTTTTTATCTTGAAATGACTTCCCTATGTTAATATGTAAGGTATAGTAGCAAATGAAAGTAGCAAAATCTTTTGCCTACCACTCTACCCTAACTCTCCTACTCACTTTTCAACGTCTATAGTTGGCAAGTATGTCTCGCTCCAATCTAGGCATAGTCTAATTAACTCTACATAGCAAAAAGGGCTTGTGTCACCTAAATTTTAATTAGCCGGAGATGATTATTAATACGAGAACGACTTATCAAAAAAAAAAAAAAAAGAAGATTAGTAATGCAGGAATGGTGGAGGCTCCATCTTGTTGGAGAGATTATTGATTGTCAAGATCCTCAGGTTGCATTCTTTGCTAAATTTTGAAGCAGAACTTTAGCAAGGGGTTACTCTCGCAGTCAAAGATTTTAGTGGGACCATGAACTCCTTTCAATGATTTATTTTGGTGCTTTTAGATTCTTTTCTTTGAATTCGATTTTGTTGTATTGTTTCTTTAAGAAGTCCTCTTCATTTCTATGTGGTAAACCTCCTCCATTGAAATTTTTTTGTAGTTAGAATGTTGACTAACATGGTTTGTCTACTTGTTAATGTAGGTTAAATTATTTGCCAATTGGAGATGACAATGCTTGTTAAATTAATATCTTTCAACTTGTATGTCATGGGTGGACCTTACAAAGCTCTAGCTATTAGATTTTCGGAATTATTAGGATGGTTTACTTATATTAACTAGGTTTTCCCAAACAGCCAAATACTTGAAGTAGGCACCATTAAAAAAAAGTCAAACTCAATTAACTCAAGAAAGCCTCATCTGACCCCTTGGTAATAGACTAACACTAAATAACTTCATCTACAGTTATATCTTATTGCTATATCTACACCATTGTGATTTCTCTCATTTGTTTTAGCCAGAATTCCTAAAATAGGTTTGGGATTTGCTTATTTCAGGAGGCATAAGTTCTCAGATATGGTGTTCTTTTTCTCTGATGGTTCCATTGCCCGTATATGCATTATATTATTAATGTAAAATGCTTTGTTTGTCCTTTTCCTCTTTCAGCTGAAGACGGCTCGGGAAGCAGCTAAATATGCTGCTGTAGGAGGTGTTATTGGAGCAGTTTCAACTGCAGGTGTTGCTTGGAAATATTCAAGGAGTCTGCATGGTAGTGTTTGGTCTCTCTTATGTTGCTGTCTCTGTTTTTTAGTACTTATTTCCCTTCTATATGAAATATATTTGATTGCTTACCTAAACTTCCCATTATCCAAGAGAAAAGAAGATTCAAATTATAAAACTGTGGCATTTGAGGAATATTAGTTTTTGACTGCTTTGGAAACAAAACTCTAATTGGAATCATCACATTTTTTTTTCTGTTTATTTGTGGTTTCTACTAGTTTAACATATAAAATCTTGCATCCTGTACCTGCTGCGACTTCACTCTCTTTGCTGGAGTCAGCATCCCTGTTAGTAGATAAAATTGTCCATCTTTCTCCTTCTACTTTGTTGGTTCACCTGTCTTGGTGCCCTGGCCAAGTGGACTAATGTATTTTTTAGTTCATTTAAGCGCGAGACTTATTTACCTAAGTAATTTGTAGAAGCAGTGTTCGAAACTGTGTAAATGTGTTGGCAAATTCCGCAAACAAGTGTATTTGTAAAAGTTGAACGAAATGATCAATTGAGTTTTGAAAGATGAAAACATCGCAATGCATATCAGCATCAATTCTGCAATGGATTCAAACACAATAGAATGGTAAGGTTGATTGATTACTGGATAATTGACCTACCTTGGATCTAGGTTACCATGAGCATAAATTAAACTCGAGGAAGATGAAATCTGCAATTAGTAGTTTGAAATGCATGGTAATGATGAGAAATCAGACTAGAAAGAGCAAGGATAGATCTGAGGTGTTGCAGAGCAGAGAGCCTAGAGATGATTGATCCTCAAGTGGGATGATAGGAGATACAGGTTTTCTAATGGTAGAGAGAGAGAGTTATGTCTGCTTGGATGATCACATGGTTGAGATTTGCTTAGATGAACCTTCACATGTACTGTGTGATTGAAGTCCTGGTGAAGAGATAATTCATTCACTGCATTGTTTCTATCTAATATTCAATGTGGAGGATCTGCTCCTTGTAAATTATTGTCGGTTCACGTGATAAACTGGTTAGCTTTCACATGGGTCGATGTTGAGGGAGTGGTTATGTTAATGTTGATAGCTGTGGTTAGTGATTTCTGGAGGAGTCTTAGACTAGTGGATGCATGGTAAATATGTCTGGTGACTTTGGCGTGTCGGAATATGTAACAGGTGGTAAAATTTTATTTCTTATTCTTATAGTGGATTGGCCAGCTTTGGAGGATGAGGGTTTTTCACATTAAAGTCACCTCTTCTTTTCATTATGTTTGCATTCTGTGGTTTGCTCGGTTCATTAATTCAGTTAAAATTAAAATCAGGAAGAGAAATTAAAGTTTGGTTAGGACCACTCATTCCGTTTTAAATAAAAAATCCAACTGGGTTTTTCCACGTGCAAAACTTTCAGCTGCAACTGTGTTTTGGATTGAGGGTTAGCCTTGAACCTGGTTTCAGGTTAGGAAGAGCTAGAGCCAAGCTCTATATTCAGTATGCTTGCCCTATTCTTTTCTAATTTCTAGAACTCCTTGAATCTGTTACACCCTTTTTGTGTGGTTCTTTTGTACCCCTGCCTTGGACACAGATTTACCTTGTGCCCAGATATCACTCGTTTTCCTTCTTCCATGACAGAAGAAGACCGCCTTCATTCTCTTAAAGTCAGCCTTTCAGTTTCATGGATAGCCATTGTATGTTGGTTGGTGGTTGACTGGGTTTTTTTTTTTTTTTTTAGGGTAAATAAAAGATTGTTTTTTGAGGTTGTTGGCTGGACTGGTATCTAATCCAGTCAAATTGGATTGATTTTTCACAACAGTTCAGTTTTGTAGATGAAAGACTTTGCACAGAGAAATTCATGTTGAGATTTTTACCTTTGGAATGAGCTCATGTTTGAGAAATCAAGCTAAACATCTAGTTGATCTCGGGTTAAATTCAGATTAGATTACTCAAAACCATAAAAAATTCAAAAAACTTATGCTTTGTTTGGTTGGGTTGGGCTTGGTGTAATTGAAGCCCACCTCTAGTTAAGTTTGGATTTAGATTGTTTAACCCAAGCCCAATCCTAACTGTAAAATGGTTACCCATACCTGTGGAAATTGGACTGGGCTCAGCTCAGGTTCGTGTTGGCCTGCCCAAGTTGCAACCCTACCTAATACCTCCAGAAAAAACTAAAAAGTGTGTTGTATCTATCAAATATTCTATATTTTTAGCTTAAAATATTAAAGTCTCGTGATAGTTTTTGGATTAAATTAGAATTCATATATTTTATTATGTCTCTATTCTTCGTTTTAAGAAATTCAATTATTTGAAACCTTGTTATGTTTCCCTGGCAATCATTTTTCTATATTGTAGTATAAATACTGTATTTTAATATTCACGGCATAGCAAACATGTTTCGAGTGTGTAACAAGTATTGGTACATGTATTTAGAATAAAACATCTATATTTTTAGAGTATGGATACTTACATTTAGTAAGTATAGGACATATATCCGTGTAATATCTGAGGTGTATCACTATTCGATACAAATACAATATAAATATGACGTCTTTGTAAAAGTTTCCGTGCTTCACAGCACGTATCCTTTTTTTGAATTTGACATTCATTTTGAAAGCATTTTGGGTGATGCAAGTCCTAGAGTTTGGCCTACTTAAAAAATGCGTTCTATGCAATAAATTTTTGTTGGAATAGATTTTGAAATTTTCGGTAAGTTTTACTATATTTTTGACTCATCAATGGTGTGAAAAATATTATCGCAGTGGTGTATGTAAATGTGGTTATAGAATGCAACAATTCAGAAAAGTAGCTTGGACCCTCGGATTTGAAAAGGTGTTAGGCAACCAATTTTATTGTTGTAAAATGAACATATCTATTGTTTGCACGTTTAGAAGCATGTCCCATACTTGTTATTTTCTTTCCCATTGGATGCTATTTTCCATTGACTACCCCAGATTACCAAATAAATATGCTTAACTGCTTGTATTAAAGTGATTTTAGGTGCTAATTCTAGTTCCATTTGGCATGGCAGGTGCGGCGCTGTCCTTTGGAGCAGGTGCAGTGTTTGGTTTTACATTTGGACAAGAATTTGCAAGTCACTGGCTGCAACTTTACAGGTTGGACACGATGAGCGCACAGGTTAAGTTCTTGGAGTGGTGGGAGAACAAAAACTGAGGACGGTCTTATAGCATGAGCTAGCTGTTGAATGCCAAATGAAACTGTCTTCTATGCAATAAGAACAAGTTGAGAATGTAATGTTTGATGGCAATTTTCTTTGCTTTTTATGTCATGAATATCCTAGTATGGACTTGTGAGTTTCTTGTTTTCGTACTGTCATGATGGAAGGTGATCTATTGTAGTTGGTTTTTTAATCATTTTCTCTTTACAAAACAGTGACATTATAAATTTAATGATTTGGATCACCATGATGCGTTCATCATAGAGCTCAAGAATCTGGTTTTTTTTTTTTTTTCCTAAATGATGGAAATTGTATTAAAATGAATAAAACAATATTGTACAAATGAAAAGTAGGGCCATTACCCTACAGCACAACCCAGGACCTAACAAGGAACCAAGTAAACTAATGAGAAACAATATCTCGGAGGCATAACCGCAAGACATCCATCACTTCCCACAAAATACATTTCAGATTCGCTAATTTGTTGGGTGTAGTCTCTCATTTCACCTAACAAGGAACCAATTAAACTTATGAGAAACAATGTCTTGGAGGCATACCCCCAAGACATCCATTGCTTCCCACAAAATACATTTCAGATTCTCTATGATTTGTTGAACATAGTCTCTCATTTCTTTCTCACCAAAGGAAATATAGAGTGGCAGTAAACAACAAATTGGACAGCTTATTTTTGCCACCTTTTGCTGAAAATTTCTGGTTCAAAAACATAGCTAGCTCATGAAGAGAAGCTTTCCTTTGAAGAATCCAGCTGCAATTTGGAGAGCTCAAGGATCTTTTAATTGTCAAAATTGAAATCTTGTGCTGGACATCTTTTGGTTCAGGATTCTGTGGAAGTACATAAATAGGAGAACATAAATCTCCGGTATTCCATCCATCCAAGAGATATGGTTGACGAAGAATAGAGAACAGAGACGGTTTATGAGCACTTGCATCACCAAACCACCACCACCCACCCCCAAAACAGAGCACATGCAGAACTCTCTTCGTGCAAGGCACGAGCATCTATAAATCCGCCAGCATTCTCCAATTGCAAGTAACTCCGGAGGCACTGGATTGGGCATTGACGTCGTCCCCCATGCAACCGGTGTACTTGCAGTTGCCGGGGCCTTAACTGGTGATCCGGGCTGTTTCCCTCTTGACGATGAAGATTATCCCCCCGCTGGAGGGTTGTATTGTACCCATCGACGAGGCTCGGGTAGTAGAAAGTCCTTATCATTGTCAAGGATGAATTCAACAAGGATCTCCAGCAGAGTGCCGCTGTTGAACCACTTGAGAGCACCATAGTCATAAAACAAAGCCTAATCTCCGTCTCTATATATGTATATGATTTGAGTATCTTAGGGAAACGTTTTGTTGGTACTGATGGGATTTGTATGCCCTGGCACAACAAATTCTTACTTGGATTGTTTAGACATTGTTGGTCCCATCTTTGAATTAGGGTTTGACCTTTTAAATGTCAAAAAACTGTTACAGGTCTATTTAAGTGAGCTTTAAGTGATTATGGTGTGCTTAGTTCATTACATTGATCTACAGGGGCAGAATGGTCATTCCACATTCATAAGAAGCCTTTTCAAATGGCCTAAGAAAGCTACATTGTGTTGACAGTACTCATTACAAACCAATTAGAGTTTTAGGTTCTGGTTCAGAGGATGATATTGTGTTACAGAGGCTATCATGGGCATTTCAGTCTTTTCATACATGTAGTCTATCATTATACACTTGCCTGGGATACTGCATTGTATTAAATTGCATAGAATCTCAATTTGGTTGAGTCTACACAGCTACAGCTACAGCTACAGTTTTATGTATATATTGACAAGTGTCCTTCACAGGGGTACTTTGGTCATTACAGATAATGAACAATTGTGTGACACGTGTCTTGTAGTCCTAGTGAGAGAAAATGAGGCTTGTTATACATTGCTTAGTGATTAAGCTTGATATATATTGATGATACATTCATATACACAAGCTGTCAAATAATATGCTCACTAGAGGACAAAATAATGAGCTGTACCAGGGGCATTGTGGTCCTTTCACTAAGGTAATGTCAAAATATTCCTATGCCGATGATTAGTTAATGGTGCCATGTGGATTTCCTCTTTAGGGTAGGAGTACATAACAATGTTACCTATATATATCCTGTTATAACAATGAGCCTCTTGAGGCCTAATTGAGCACCATTGTGAGGATCTTTGAGCTATATTGTGACAAGCACTCGAGACTCTAAGAACAATGAATTTCCACTAAATTCTAAGACTGATTTGTGAGCAAAATCAATTTAGTGATCTATGTAGTGTGAGTGTGCAATTGAAGATGAAGGATACGGTTGTGTTTTGCTGGTGTGCGAATGTTGAAGTTCATTCAAAGGTTCAATCCAAGCTTCAGGCCATTTCAAAGGGTTCTAGAGGTTGTGGCAAGTTTGCTTTACCATTTTACAACTGGAGAACTTGTGGGCATGATCATATTCTGGCTGTAGTTGAGTTTGATGTCTCAAACCTCAATATTTGCCTTGTTTTTATGGTTTAGCTTTCTGTCATTAGTATATATGCATGTTATCTTATTGTGAGTTGAATTCTTATCATTTGAACAAGTTTAAACAGTTGAATAAAGGCTGGGGAAGTTGAGATTTGGACAAAAATATGTTCATTAGGGTTTTTTACTTGTGAAACCCTAGTTGTTAGGGTTTTCTACAAAAATAGTCCATTTTAGTTGTGATTGTTGAATACCTTGCTTGTTTCATTATGTTTATCATTTGAGTATGTGTATAAGGTTGATATAAGGCTTTGAGAACTATTTGGTGGTCTGTGTTCATATGAAATTCCAGATTTACCCTTCTACCACAGATTCAGCAGAATGAGGCTTATTTCCTGGTGTTTGATACTTTAAGCTGTACAATCACTCTTATTCTTTGTAATAGCGTAAGTATTGTTGTTCTACATTTATTTCAATGTATTTGGTGAGCTATGAGAGCTTACAAGGTCCAAGCAGGGTTGCTTAGGCCAAGGGGAGTGCTGTGTGCATAATGTTGTGAGCTAGGGTGTGTGTAGAGTGAGAGACAACTAAGTGTGTATCTACTTTATTACAACTAGTGGAGCTTACATTGGTTGTGGCAAAAAACCAAGGGTTTTAATCTCTAGTTGAGAGAGATTTTCCTTGTAAAATCATTTAGCACTTGTGGTTGAATGTGTGAACATATTGAGTTGAAATTCATCCAAGTCTTGGAAGAAGATTTTATAAAAGAACCAATTCACCCCCTCTTGGTTCATCAATTGGTATAAGAGCTTTGGTCTGCCTTTCAGAGGTTATAGACGCCCCATTTTTTTCCTCCCCTTTTGACTTACCAACTTTCTAAACCTCGAGAAGGAATGACGTTTACATCTTTCGAGACCATTTCCCCTGTAGGGCCTGCATACGATAGAAAACTAAAAATAGATGATCAGACCATCCAATTACAACTAGTTGAGCTCCCAAGAGGGTTTTTCTTGCATAGTATATGGCACATGAAAGTTTACCCACCCTTTGGCTTAAAACAGCACCCATAGCAAAGTCGAACGCATCACACATGATCTCAAATGGTAGGGACCAATTTGGAGGTTGCATTATGGGAGTGGATGATAAAAGAGTTAGAAGTTGATGAAAACATCTAGACATGCTTTATCAAAGATAAATGGGTCTCCTTGGCAAGAAGATTGCACAAGGGTCTAGCTATCTTGCTAAAATCTTTGATAAAACGGCGATAAAAGCCCGCATGACCTAAAAAGGAGCGGATTTCTCTCACCGTAGAAGGTGGAGGCAATTTGGAAATGAGCTATACTTTCTCTTTATCAACTTCGATACCTCTCTTAGATATAACATGACCTAGCACAATCCCCTCTTAAACCATGAAATGGCTCTTTTCCCAACTTAACACTAGGTTCGTCTTTTGACAACTTTGAAGCACAAGAGATAGATTTTGGAAGCATGAATCAAAGAAGACCCAAAGATTGAGAAGTCATCCATGAAGACCTCTAGATACTTTTCCATCATGTCCAAGAATATCGACATCATACACCTTTGGAATGTGATGGGAGAATTATACAAACCAAAAGACATCTGTCGGAAAGCAAAATGTACTAAATAGCTTTGCCCTGCCAATCTTTTCAAAATTTGATCAATGAAAGGCAAAGGGAAATAATCCTTCCTAGTGGTGGAATTTAGCTTTTGGTTGTCAATGCACACATGCCATGAAGTGGCGATATGTTGTGAAATTTGTTCACCCTTAGAGCTCTCAACGAAAGTAATTCCTAACTTTTTGGGAACTATTTGTGTTGGACTCATCCACTTACTATCGAATATCGGATATATGATCCTGGCATCCAATAGTTTAACTACCTCCTTCTTCACAACCTCTTTCATATTCGGGTTCAACCTCCTTTGGGCATCCCTAAAAGGCTTCTCATTCTCCTCCATATGAATGCGATGCATATATACGGAAGGTTCAATGCCCTTTAGGTCAGCCACACTCCATCCAATGGCTTCTTTATTCTTTTTAAACACATCTAAAAGTTTCTCCTCTTGGTCATCTTCAAGATTTGAAGCAATGGTGATCGGAAAAGTCTCTTTTGGGCCTAAGAGGGCATACTTGAGATTGAATGGGAGTGGTTTAAGCTCAAAAGTAGGTGGAGAGATGAGCGATGGAACCGGTGGAGTACTAGAGAGTGGAGGAAGAGGTTCCTTAGGAGTTTTCCATGGCGGGTAGTCCAAAGTGGCCACAGAGTCCATCAAAGCATTTACTTCAGATATGGAGCTCTCAATGTCAAAGGCATCCATATTGAAATAAGCGAGGCATGCCTCGAGAGGATCTTTAGAAAGGATAGAAGGAAAGGACTCTTCTACAAGTTCATCAATGATATCCACAAGGGAACACTTGCCTTCATCGATGGGATGTTGGCTCGCGTTAAACACATTAAGCTTGACCATCATATTGCTAAAAGAGATATCCATAATGCTGGACCTACAATTGATAGTTGCATTAGCAGTGGCAAGGAATGGCCTTCCTAGAATGATAGGGATGTGATTGGTGGGGTTAGGGACTGGCTTGGTATCTAACACAACGAAATCAACTGAAAAATAGAACTTATCAACCTTAATGAGAATGTCCTCGATAATTCCCATAGGTTTCTTTATGGATCTATCGGCTAATTGGAGTACTACCGAAGTTGGCTTTAAGTCACCCAAACCTAATTG